GTGGTGGTGATTGCACAACTTTTAAATATATTTAAGCCATTGAATTGTACATTAATTAAATGCCAATAAAACTTTTTGAAAACTTAGTATGAGTACTAAATATACTAACACAAAAATATGTATAGGCAAGAAAAGTTAGACTCGAAGAGTAGATGAATATATCAAGTTTATATATTAATATTTGATAACTAATAGAACCACAGTTCCCTTTCTTTTTTAAAAAAACAGTTTTATTGGCATATAATCCACAAATGATAGTTTAATCATATTAAAAGGGTTTTAGTTATCACAATCAATTTTAGAACATGTTCTTTTTTGTACTCATTGTTATTAGCTCCCCATCTCCCCCAACCACCAATCTGCCATGCCCCCAAGAAACCATTAATCCACTTGCTGTCTCTATAGATTTACCAATGCTGGATTTCATATACAGAAAAACATCCAAAGAAAGCTAACAGTAATAACAAAGTAAAAAAGAAAAACCTCAAGCGAAAGAGAGCAGAAAATATTAAAACTAGAACTAGGATATTTAAAATGGGTCAGAAGGGAGATCAAAGGATAAGGTTAAATTTTAACCAGCTGCATCTGCAGTAATCCACTTTCATAAAGTTCTCGTTTGAAAAGAAAGAACTGTGATGACTGTTTGTACTTTGTAGCAAATTGCTGATTTTATGCTTAAAAGGCATCCTTTTGAGTCTATAACAGTGCTTCTCAAAGTGCCCTTTTCTGAAACATGCCCCCTCCCCTCCCCCAGCATCACCTGAGAGCTTACTAGAAATACAAATTCTCAAGTCCCATTTTGATCTTCTGAGTCAGACTCTTGGGCCTAATAATCCGTTTTACTAAGCCATCCAGGTGATTGCTACCCTTTATAAGTTTGAGAACTATTGGTCTGTATGCTTTTTAATAATTTTTAAAGTATACTGTTTTAAATTGTTAGAATAACGCGGGCTCTGTTATAAGCTCTAAGTAAGAACATTAGCACTGGAATTGACTGTGCTTACATAAGGGCTTACCAAGTTCTCTCTGACATTTTATCTCTGTCTATAAAATAATAATAGAATAGAAAGTGGTTTGGGAGGTATATTTATAAAGAATTAGGGAGCAGCTTTTTTTGGTTTTTGGTTTTATATATTGGAGTTCCCCATAAGATTTTTATTTTATTAAATAAAGGGACCCTATCAGTTAAAAACATGGGAATCATCTTTAATTTGTCTGCTCATTTTCCACATTCAAAAATACTCTGATATGAAAAAAAACAATTCATTCGATTAGAAGGTACATTATTTTCTTCCTATCTGCAGCTCAAGTCATATGATAGTTTTTTATCTGTAAAGTAAGACTAATTGCTGTAGTATTGTTTCAAGGTTAACTCGTTGAATGTATAAGAATGGATTTATTTACAATAAATTTGGGAGCCCACTTTGACTTTATATTTCCACAATTCATAAGTTTGCTTATTTTATCCATAGTTTTGATGTTTCTTTGCTGTGATACATTAGAGGTTTGAGACATTGGCAGTATATATATTCATAAGTGCCGTCTTGACTCTGCCCCTTTTAGAAACATCTATTTTAAGTTCATGTTGAAATCATGCAGTCTCCTGATGACAGCCTTGCTGTGGAAATTTCTGTGTCTTGTGCTCTGATGGGGGAGACTTCTTTGTTAGATGTTTACTTTATTTACATACTAAAGTATTTTTCCACCCCAGAGCATTTGATCATCCATATGTGGTAGTTTATACAATGCCACATAACAGTTCCTGCTGTACTTGAACAATGTGATCCCATTGTCTCTTCAGACTTTACGCAGTAGTGAACCCCTTTGGGATTAAGACCTCGGCTACTAACCCAGGGGGTGGCTATTGGAATCTACACAGGCACCTTAGAAAAAATCCTGCTGTCTACATCTGAAAGTTCACTCCCCCAAACCTCACTGTCACTGAGTCAGTGCCAACTCATAGAGACCCTATAGGACAGGGTGCCCTGTGGCTTTGTGAGACTCTGTAATTCTTTGTAATTCTTTGCAGGAGTAGGAAGCCTTGTTGATCTGGCTTAGCTGATCTGGCTTCAAACTGCTGACCTTGTGTTTAGCAGCCAAGATGTAACTTAGAATGCCACCAGGACTCCTCCTCTTAGCCACTATAGTTGACACAAAAAGTCCTAAAAGTCAAAGTGAAGGATCCCTAAAAAGAGAAACAAACTATATTAAGGAATTATCATTTGATTTTAACTTAATATAAGTTCATTTTGCCACTTATGTACAGTAACGCCAGAACTTTTTAATGGGCCTGTGATTTGAGTTTCATATCTTCCACATTCATAAATGATGCCATAATACCTCCTATATGATTTCCAGCTTAATTTTCTTTAAGACAGAGCAAGTTTATAGATATCTTATTAACAGTATGAGTACAGAATTCTGCTAGCTTTTTATAATTTTCTTCCTGCCCCACTCCACAACGTTTTCTATTTATCTTGGTCACACCTAATTTGATTGCAGGCTCTAACAACTTTCCTTTATTGCATTTTATAAAGCAGTCACCATAGTGTTCATAGAAACAACAATCTTCTTTTAGTGTTAAATTCCAGTTATACCTAATAGTTTGTTTAATTATGTAAAATACAGTACAAGTAAAATTGACCTCAACAGGTTTGAGCACAAATAGTGACTTTAAAAATACAACTCAACTGGTAGGAGCAGAAATGCATCAGTGCATTGGAGCAAGCACTAGGCAAGAGCATGCTGCCTGCAGAGCATTTGTTAGCTTGTTCACCCAAGGCATGGAGAGCATTGCCTAACCTGAGAAAACAATTTTGAAGGTTACTTGAAAGAGTGCTTTTATTTTGCTGTAGAGTCTTTTTTTCCACAACACTGATATCACCTAACTTTTGAAGGATATGCCATTTAATGTAGTTAATTTTTCTCCTGAGTGATTCTTACTGTTTCAAGGTTATGTACTTGTAGATTTCTAATGCCTGTTTGCATTTCCATCTGAACTATTTATTTCCATTAAATTCATAGCTTGAAATCCTGAGGGCTTTGTTATCGCTGAGCATTTTGGAATTGGAATGCCCTATGGTGCTATTTCAAGAAGCCCTGGTGGTGTGTAGTAGCTTATGTGTTGGGCTGGTAACTGAAAGACCAGCAGTTCGAACCCTCCAGCCACTCCAAGGAGACAGATCAAGCCTTTCTATTCCCGTCATATTTGCAGCCTCAGAAACCCACGAGGGCAGTTCTACTTGGCCCCATAGGGTCACTGTGAGGTGGAACTGACTCAGTGACCATGCGTGATGGTGGCATTTCATTTTTTTAAAGCACTACTTCTATTTAAGTTTCATGACATTTTTTTTAATAAAAGAGAAACTAAATAGATACATGAAAATATGTTTTAAACCATCTTCTGGGAATTTCTTTCCACCCAGTGGCAATAGATGCCTGAAAGAATCACAAATCTGAGAGTCCGATCATTGAAAAATATTTTCAATTCTGAAAGCAAAAGAAAATGGTTTTATTTTCTAAAAAAATAACCCTCGTTGTCACGGAGTCAACTCTCACTCATACCAACCCTATAAGGCAAAGTAGAACTGCCCCTGTGGGTTTCTGAGGCTGTAAATCTTCACAAAAGTTAAAAACCACCTCTTTCTCCCTCAGCTGGTGGTTGTGATTGCTGACCTTGCAGTTAGCCACCCAACGCATAACCCACTGTGCCAATAAACTATCTGTATTAGGTATTGCATAATCTTACCTCTGATCTTCACAAAAACTCTTTTTCAGATAAAGGTACTAAGACTCAAAGACTAGATGCCTTCCGAATCATATTTTTGTTAGTAAGTGGAAGGTTGGTATTTGAGCCCCTAGATCTATGCGACATCCAGAGCATTTGAAATAGTTACTGTGGATCTATCTAAATGGTACTTGGTAGGTTTGAGAATAATTTACCGTATATACTTGTGTATAAGCTGAGTTTTTCAGCACATTTTAATGCAGTTTTTGTGGTAAAATTAGGTGCCTTGTCTGATATTCAGGTCGGCTTATACTTGAGTAATATGGTACCTATCCTGCTCTAAAGATGTTAGCCTCTATTATTTTTATTATTAATATTTTCTAGGTACTTTGCTAAATACTTCTAAAGCATGTTAAGATCATTTAGTCCTCATTAACAATACTACAAGAGTTGGTATTAACTTATTTTTAAATCATTTTATTGGGAGGCTCTTACAAATTTTGTAACAATCCATCATCCAGTTGTATTAAGCATACTTGTACATATGTTGCCATCAGCATTTCCAAAACGTTTTCTTTCTATTTGAGCCCTTGGTATCAGCTCCTCTTTTTTCCCCTCCCTCCCCCACTCTCCCACCCTCGTGAATCCTTGGTCAATTATATATGATGCTTCATTGGTGCTGTACTGCACCCTGGTTGAATTGTCCCTTCCTTGTAACCCTTTTGTAGGGGGATGCCCAATTGTCTACAGACAGGCTTTGAGTCTCCACTCCAACCCTCCCAATTCACATCAATATAATTGTTTGTTTTTGATCTTTTGATACCTGATCCTGTGTCGACACCTCATGACCACACAGACTGGTGTGGTTATTTCCATGTGGGTGTATTTGCTTCCCTGCTAGATGGCTGCTTGTTTAACTTCAAGCCTTTAAGACCCCAGACACTGTATCTTTTGAAAACTAGGCACCATCCATCCACTTTCTTCACCATATTTGCTCATGCACCCATTTTGTCTTCAGCGATCATATAAGGAAGGTAAGTATCAAAGAGTGCCAGGTTATTAGAACAAAGTGTGCTTGTGTTTAAGGAAGCCTTGAGTAGGACCCCAAATTCCACCTGCTATCTTAATACTTAACATATAAATATATGGACATTGGCCTTTATCCCTTTCATTATAAATTAATATATTTACATATATACATGCCTGTAGGTATACCTCTATAAATAGCTTTCACCTCCTACTTCTTTCCTCTTATTTCCTTTCACCTTCCTCCAGTCCCACTATCACACTCACTCTCCATTCGGCTCTCAGTAATTCCTCTTGGATGCACTGCACTTGGTCAAACCCCAGCAGGCATTATACCCACTCCTTGCCATCAATTTTAGATCTCTTGTTCCCTTATCCCTGAGTTGGTTTCATGTCATATGAAATAACAGAATTTAAGATAGATTGTCATGTATCCTAATTAAAGTTAAGCATCTAATAAGTGGCAGAGATTAGATGCACAAGATTTTGTAAGATAAATTATATTAGGTTATAATGATGTAGTGGTAGAAAGGGATGTTTTTGAATTGACGGGGAAGGTAGCTCAAGACTTACGGAGACAACAACTAGCGTGAATTATGTGCTGGGAGTGCAAAGTCATGACCCCTAGCATCTTCCGAAATATAATGCTAGATGAGGCCAATAAGTCTTCATAAATCTCTTGAGCAAATCACAGATAATACATGAACTCAGTGGGATAATAGAAATCACCCCCATGCCTCCTAAACAATGGCAGTTTTCTAACTTAGAGAAGAAGCAGAGAAAAGTGTGCATTGTAATCTGCAAGAAGAATGTAGGCAGTATGTATAGAGAAACCTATGAGGTAGGTGGGGTGTATAGAGAGAGAAAATCACAATCTCACTTGTTAAAGTTCAGAAGAAGAGAACTAGTGTTGGCCATGATTTTCCTGAGATTATGTATTCCTATGTTGGAAGAACAAACATCTCGTGGAGGAATACAACAAGAATGCTCCTTAGAAGCAAAGATGGCAAGACTTCACCTTTCATAAATGTTTCAGGAGACACCAGTCCCTGCAAAAGAACGCCGTGCTTGATAGAGAGTCAGTGACACAGAAGGCCTTCAACTCGATGGATGGGCACAGTGGCTGCAATAATGGCCTCAAACAACAATCGAGGCTGGCTCAGGACCAGACAGTTTTGTTGTGTTGCACGCAGGCTTGCTGTGCATTTGAACCAACTGGTCTGCAGCAAACAACAGCAGCGTTTGACCATGTACTCCTGTGAAATCAGAATCCTTGTTTTCTTAAAAACTTGTAAATTTATTCAAAATTAATTGGACTTGGTTTAAAGTTATATATAAATTTGCAAGTATGTGTGTTTTCTGTTTGGTTAAACAAAAAACCCTTGCTGATTTGTTTTTTTATACAAGGGCATAATCCTGAAAAAATAACTTCTTAAAAGCACATTCCCTTTTCATACTTAGAATTCTTTATGTTCCATAAACAGAAATAAGAGGAAAATGAAGGAAGTAAGGTGAAATAAATCTGGCAAGATCTCAAAAATTGATTGGTATGTAAAGAATTCGTTAGTTTTAACATTTTTATAAAGGATAGTGTTAAAAACACAACTGTAATGTCTTAATGTTCTCTGATTTACTTATTTGCCTTCTAATATCCATCGCAATGGCTACATAGAAACTCACAGAAAAAATTCATGATTAAAGGGTATGTTAGTCCGTGTAGACTAGAGAAACAAACCCAGGGAGACTCATGTGTATAAGAAAGAACTTTATATCAAAGAATAATTTTATATTAAGAAAACATCCCAGCTTAGTCCAGTTCAAGTCCATTAGTCTGATATTAGCCCGTATGTCCGATACTAGTCTATAAATTCCTTTTCAGACTCAGGCAACACATGCAATGACATGAAAGCAGGAAGATCACAGACAAGTGGATGGAAAGTCTTGTGGATCCAGTGGCAGAAGCATCTCCACGCTGGTGTGGGTCTCCACGTGGCTCCTCCAGCTCCAGGGCTCTGGCTCCATCAGTATAGCCCCATCTGACTTGACATCAGGAATGTCTTGCAACAAGTGTGTGTCGCACCTCCAGGAAGGAAGATGGGAGTTCCCAGGAGTAGGCCATGCCTACTCCCAGGAGTAGGCCATGCCTCCTCAGGAGTAGGCCATGCCCACACAGAGGTTTCATTGGCTGTGACCTGATTGACAGGCTAGACTCCACCCCTTCGCAAGTTGACAGATTATGTAACTGCCACAGAGGGGTTATTAAGTAGGTTAATAAATTGTAATGTCAGTGAGAAATGCTCAGGGTAATTGTTTACCAGGACATTTACACAGTTTCAGGTCTGTTAGCAAATGCCTAAAGGGACATACCACTCTGCTGTAAGCCTTAAGCCTCAGGTACTCAGCTCAAGCACCCTGGTGCAGCAAACCCAGCCCCATGAATTAAGTGTCTAGAAGCACTGTACTCCAGTAAGCCTCAAACCCAAAGCACTCAGCTCAGCCCAGCTTCCCCTTTAGAGAACCAAGAGGCACCCTACTCCACAAGCCCGCCTCCTGCACAAAAACGCATCTTAGGGTTGGGAAGTCCATCTCTCTGTTCTATGTTCTGCTGCTGCTCCTCGGTTAGTATAGCTGTCATCAGGACCCAGGAGATTCGCTGCATAGGGATCTCTGCTACAAAAGATGTACTCCACTCCTGGTTTTCGCTAGTAAGGAAACCCATCCTGCATCTCAGAGGGCTCATCTTTTTTTACATAGCAGGATGGCACTCTAGGAAATCCTATTCACAATTACTCACAAGCGAATCCTAGCATCTTCTTCCCACCTTCTTACTAAACCCATGCAGGGAAAGTGCGTACGGGGAGTTTGAGACTAGGGCTAGAAAGAGCCACATTAAATAATTCACTGTCCCTGGTACAACAGAGAAGAAATAACCATGTACACTTTAGCATTAAATAAAAATACTCTAACCAATAAATTTTAATTGTAATACAACTTTTCTGATACTTCACTTTAAAAAAAGAACATTGACAAAGCACAAAAGGAGGGATTTATACAAATTATTTTAAATAGCTTTAAACATCCTCTGCACCAGTGGCTCCCACATGTGAATCTCGTATTGATCCTAGAACTGGTACTCCAGGAATGGGTTTTAGCGGACCTTGCAGGTTAGCACAGACTGGAAAGAAAGGCTTAGAAATGAATCGGCCAGAATCTTAGATCACAACAGAATATTGTCTGGCTTATCGGACTCACCATCATGAGGGACCAGTGACGAGAGACGGGCCAATGCAGTGAGGGACACCCTCAGTGAGCTTACTGGCGCCCGAGCCACACGGTAGACTGGAACATGCGCGGTCAGGGAGGGCATCAGGACAAGGCAGTTTCGGTTATCCTGGGAGCTGCATCTTTCTGTCTCCTGTATGATTAACAAAACACAAGTTAGCTTACCAACCACGTTTTATAAGTGATGGTGGGTTTTACTATTGAGCTCATTGTGGTTTTTACATGTGTGTAACATGATACATGTTTTCTTATGCTTTGGTACTAAGATTATATTAAGGAAATCTCTGAATTATGTTGAGAGTAACTGAAGGTTAAGGACCATTACCCCACTCACGGTGTTTTTTGCTGTGTATGTGTTCATGTTTGTTCCCAGGGGTTGGTGTGTGCTGGATTGGCTGACATGGCCAGACCTGCAGAAAAACTCAGCACAGCTCAATCTGCTGTTTTGATGGCTACAGGTAAAGTACATGATTGTCATCCATGTTCCATGTAGAACATTCCTTATTTTGTTTTATATAAATTTATTTAATATTTATAACAGATACAAATGGACAATGTTATCTCTAGGAAGTTACTGGATTGTGGATGGAGAAGGACTAGAAAGTTATACTGAATGTCTACATGGAGTTTTGTTTTTTTATGTTTTTCCCACCCATAAGTATGTGTTTATAAGTAAATGTTACTATTCAGTTGCTCTGTAAAGGTTCCCTTTAATATAATAACTGACTATTTTGTATAACACTGGATTTTTTGAAGACTCAGCATTGCATTTCTGGGTCATATTACGGTCATGTTCTCATTTATAATGAGTTTAATATATTAACTCTTCAAATGATATACTGCAGCAGTACCTTTACTTTTACATTTTGTTTGTTTGTTTAAACAGGATTTATTTGGTCAAGGTACTCACTTGTCATTATTCCAAAAAACTGGAGTCTGTTTGCTGTTAACTTCTTTGTGGGAGCTGCGGGATCCTCTCAGCTCTTTCGTATTTGGAGGTAAGCTGGCCAGAAGTTTTAGAAATAACTGCTTCAGCAGATGCCGAGATGAGATTTTTAAAGAAAAGATCATTGTGCCATTCTCAAACATGAATGGTCTTGATTCAGAAAAAGCATGTGTAGACAGACCTGGATGTGTACAAATAAGTTACATTTTCATTGTCACCACCTAAAAGTTGGAAGAGATTTATTCTGTTTATTCATCTCTTAGTGTCATAGCTTTTAAGTTTTATACTGATTTGAATTCTTGAGGAATATGCCCTCCCAATTCTTCAAAGTATTAAAACTTTTACAACGGTAAACACTGTTCAGCCAGTTTTGTTTCCTGCAGCCTCGAGGCTAAGTGTGCCTGGAATCAAAACAAAGGAACAATAGAGTCTGTTCACGGCCTCTGCTCAAATGTTCTTCATTTGTGCACCACAACTTTGCCTTCTACAAGCTGGGGAAGTGACGCAGCTGTTAATGAGAGAGTGTCTCCTTGATGACCTAGCTGTCACTTAACTGAACTACTAATAAAGACTGCTAGAAATTTGCCAATAACAACTTTTTAAAATAAAATTTTTCCTCACCATCTATTCATTTCATTTTATTCCATTTAAAATAATTCTTTTTAAATGTCTTTGAAAAAATTTCAAACGTCTTTTTAGTTATCTTGACAGAAGAATTTGTGGCTTAATTTTTGTTTTAAATAAAATTAGACTTTTTAGATTAGCAGAATATTAAAAACAAAACCAAACTCACTGCCATTGAGTTCGTGCTGACTCATAACAACCTTACAGCTGGGTAGAACTGCCCCTGAGTGTCCGAGACTGTAATTGTTTACAGGAGTAGAAAGCCTGGTGTTCCTTCTAAGGTGTCTGGTGGTTTTGAACTGCTTACTTTGTGGATTGCATCTTAACACATAACCACTGAGCCATCAGGGTTTCTCTAGCAGAATATTGCTTCTTAAATTGTAATTCAATTTTATTTTTTATTTATTTCCTTTATATTTTATAGCATCATAGATGTTTCCTTGAAATATAGTTTTTCTTGATGTTAAGGTACTTTTTATTAAGCCTCATTTATAAATGCTTGAGTGCTTGTGTTTTACGAATATTTTAAAGTATTTCCCATGGGAAGATACCTCAACTTACCCATCATCTGGGGCTGTCATTTTCACTCTTTAATCTCAAGATGTCCTTAACATGCAGAGCAGGTGGTAAAGACTTAGAGGGTAGGTGTTTCGAGAGCAGAGGAGGGCCTGCTAGCCTTCTCATGCTCCCACGTGAGCCGTAGTTGACTGCTGCCCCACAAAGCAGCTAGTCCGATTTCCTTAATCTGCTCTTGATAGCTTTCAGCCCTTAGTTTTAGAAATGGTAATCTAATAGAAAATTTGTTGAACAGTGTATAAACTAGTTTTCCTACTCTATCAATGTTTCTGTCTTTTATACTTTCTATTATGCATGATAAAGTGAGATTTAAATGTATAGTTTTATAATATTGAAAATGATACTTAGGGTGAAACCACTTGTGTAGTTCAAGAATGAAAATATTCCTTTAACGTGATTGTTATAAGTGATAGCATGTTATAAGTTGCATAGCATGACCATATCAATGTCACTAAGTTGTACATGTAAAAAAAAAGTTAGATTAGCAAATGTTCTATCATCTAATACACTTACCATAATAGTAATAATACTTTTGTGTATGTCATTTAAGCTGAAAAACTTTTGGGGAGTTGGAATCTTGTTCAAAGCACAAGCCAGGTGCAGATGAACTCTTTGATTGGACTGCCTTTTGCCTGTTCTACCTAAGGTCCTGGGAAGATAGTATTTCCAACTACCTCACTTTCTGACCTGACTTTCCATTCTTGTCTGAACCATATATTTACCTTATGAGTGATTGTTTTTCTCTCTTTTTTCTTTATAGATATAACCAAGAACTAAAAGCAAACAAATCAAAGAGTACCTGATTACCTGCACAATCTAGTTGTGGACATAACCACTGGGACCTAGTTGGATTTACTATTTGGTTATTGTTTAGGTGATGCTAAACCATGTTGACGTTTGGAAGATAAAAATAAACTAACTGTAACTGGTAACTGGTGCTTGATTCAACAGAAAAATAAAGCAAACTTTTAATAACAGTTATTCTCTTAACATATGACTTGAAGAACATAGCAATGGATGTTAGCAGCATTCACTCCACATTTGCTCCTGACATGAGACTTCTTCATACATGCCTCTAATCACCCTCTGTTCTGTTCAGCCAGCCAAAGTGTGTGTAAAAAAGTGCACATAGTTGAAGGGGGGTGGTAAGAGTAGAAAGGCTGCATGTCTTGTTTTCAGCCACGGTAGGGAGGGCAAGTCACTGTAAATGGAAGGACTACAGCTGAGCCGAGTGGGGAGTGGGGAGTGGATGGCTAGCAAAATGGCCTCACACTAATTTAATATATTTTACCTTGAAGCATTTTGAAGTGAATTCATTTTTCATATTGTGTGACATTCTTTTACAGCCACAAAATAACAAGGGGTTTGTTTCTAAAAATTTTAACTGTACTCGGGAATTGATAAAATGTAGCAGAATGTACCCTAAAATGAAACGGTTGTTTATATAGACATTTATGGCTTTGGGCTACTTAGGAAAGTACCTAGCAGAATGCCTAGGATGCACGGAAGCTTTTTGTAATTGTTAAAGCCAAGTAAGGTGAGACTGGATGTAGATTACACCATTTTAAAAATAATCTATTGGTTTGGGCTCCAATTTGGGGTATACTAAGCATTCTTCTAATTTTGGTAGTCAGATGAGTCAGCAAAGCATGTTCTAAATTTGAAGAAACAAATTTTAAAAATAACTTCTGTAACTAATGAAAATTTGACAATTGGCTATTTAAAAACGTGTACATTCTCTTTTATCCCTTCACCATAGTCCATCTGTGAGAAAGGAAGGATTGGAGAATTTAATAATAGGCAAAAGTGAAGAAGGTCTTGTCAAGTGAAATTACTATTCATTTCTTTCTGCAAAATTGTTTCTTGTTTATTGGGAGTGGCGGGTGGCAGTGTGTGCACACATCTGAGCACTTAGGCGTGCTTCCTGGCTTAAGCATTTAGGGAAAACATGGCTGTAGACACAAAAGTATACTACGAACACCAAAGTTTTATGAAAATGTAATTGTAGAATTAGTGTTCCACGACCTTTTCATTATAGTCTCCTTTTCCCTGCATGGGAGCCATGGACACTTCAGTGGTTGAATTCTCACCTTGAGACCCAAGTTGGATTCTTAAACAGTACGCCTCATTCTCAGCTACCACCTACCTATCTGTCGTTGGAGGCTTAAGTGTTGCTATGATGCTGAACAAGTGTTGGCTGAGCTGCCAAATTAAGGAAGTCTAGGAAGAAAGTAGGCGCCTAGTGATCTTGTTCCAAAAATCAGCCAGTGGAAACTCTGGATCCTAATGATCTAATCAGGTGATCACAGGCGTCGTAAAGGACTGAGCAGTGTTTTCGTTCTGTTGTGCATGGGTTTGCCAACTCAATGGGCACTATCAATATTCCCTGCATAGTTTCTCCTAAGCCACAATTGCAGGCAAATAATTACAGCGTTTCAGTGCAATTCTAGGCAGTCTTCATCTTGTTCTCAGCAGCTTTATTGACAAACTACTTTATCATGCTATGTTCAATCTAGTCATTGTTGAATCTTTAAAAGTATAAATGACTTTACTGTGTAGCCAGTCAAAATTTTGCATGATCACTTGACAGACTAAAAGTCCTTACTATCAAGAAAGCTACCAAACACCTAAAAAATCCCTAGCACATGGAACAAATCACTTGATAACTGGAGCTCAGTTGAATTCCATGAAGATTTTCTGAACTCATTAATACTGCCTTTAGGCAAGTGTTCTCAATGCCAAATACAAGTGGCCTGCCTTCCAACCCAGGTCTGCCACCACATGTGAACTGTATGTGACCTTGGGCAAGTTAACCTCTACCTCTAAGCTTTAGTATTCTCGTGAGTAAATTATGAAATCAAACCCATTGCTGTCAAGCTGAGTCCAGCTCATAGCAACTCGAATAGCACAGAGCAGAAATGCCTCCATCCAAGACCCATCTTGTCAAAAAGCACTGTCACATCTCTGATGTCACTATGCGATGGCTTTAAACCACTGACCATTTGGTTAGTAAAAGCCCTTTAACCCTGTACCACCAGGCTCCTAAAAGAGGAAATTAGGTAATAGCATTTTGTAGGGCTTTTGTAAAAATTGAGGTAAATGCTTAACAGTGGTCTAGAGCGAGTATTAAATAAATGTGGAAAGTTTGAGAGTATGGAAAACTTATTAATGACAAGCCCTGGAAGGTCTTTCTTGAATAAAGGCTCTCTTAATGTAACTGCAGCAAAGTATTTTGACCTATTAGTACACCTTCAGAGGTAATAACTTCGAACTCAAAGCTTTTACAAACAAAGCAGAAAACAAACGGGATTGGTGGGGTCCAGAATGCTCTGAGGAAGAGTCTTTCATCTTTTTAATGATTTGTCATTCATATCAAATCCCTACCCAAGATAGGCAAATACTGTTTCTCCGTATTAAGCAGATTAGCTTTTTTGAGTTGTTAAAATGATAATGAAAGGTTGACCTTGAACAAGGATTAACCTCAAACCCCAGGTACCTCTCTGTAAAGCAAACCAGTCTCTGCAGGAGCTGTGCTCCAAAGGAACAGAAATAGCACTGGTGCTTATTAACCTTGGCTTTCTCCGCAAGGGGGTTGTTTAATTTTATAAGGTGTCATTCTAATTAAGACTCGCTTCTACAAAGGACCCTAGAAAATTCACTCAACATTTAATAACTGAAATTCTTCCCTAAGACAACTGTGTTTTATAACATTTTGAAATATATAGTAAATATAGAGCTGGACTTTATTTTAGATTGTCTACATGCCGTTTCAGTTATTTTTTGAATCCCAATTTTCGGTGTATGCCACTAAATGATTGTAGTTTTGGTAAACATGAAACTAGTCAGGAAGTCGGAACGTGAGTTCAGCCTTTCGGAAATATGCTACTCTATTAAAATGTACTTTGCCCGTGTCAACATTGGATTGAAGACACTCAAATCCAAGATCACAGGGGAACTCAAGTTCCCTTTAGGGTAAATTTGGTTAGAAGTATACTCTTTAGTCACAATCACAGGAATATAATTCTTCAAACAAAATCTACCTCACAAAAATCTCAAGTTATTACATTGAACCTGTTATAACTGGTAAACTTCGTAGTGCTGAAGTATTGACTTTTGACTAAAGGTGGATGCTTGCTTGCTCAAGAGATACCTGTCTTATTGATAATCCCTAACAATACTGCCTCATTTCAACATCCTCCACATGGTCGGGAAGAGAATTGTGAAAACTACCTTGGGGCATTAGATCCCGAAACTGCAGCCCTTGGAGCAAGGAGCTGCTGAGACTGGTGGGGGAGGGGAGGGAAGTGCCAACCAATCAGAAGCACAGCCAGTAGACATGAAACAATGAGCTGCTGAAGAGGGCGTGGCCAGGAAAACTGCTATTAGACAAAACTGTCATTTTATGGGTCCACTATAGACAGACATGGCACTTCTGCTGCCTTCAGACTAATGTTACCCGGGCCCCTTTCCTGTTCCCTACACTTCTGAAAGGTCTAGTCCCTAATCCAGGCCCTGACTCTTCCTCAACCTTGGAGGAAGAGGAGGGATGTGGAAGTAAGTCTCAGTAGGAAGAATGGTTGCAGAGGTAAAGAAGAAAACAACTGTCTGGGAAGAAAGCAGGTATTGGAGCTGAGGGAATTGGGGAGGCCTTGGGTTAGAAGTCAAGGTCCAAACTGGCCTTACAGGTCTGCCCTCTGAAGTCTGAAGGTTTACATGCTCCCTCTTTGTACATAGTGGATGCTCTGTTTCTAGCAGACCTTCCATATTTACCTGGCGTCTGAGACTTCTAACAGGATGTCTGTCTTGTGTCAGTCACCAAATGGGAAGGGACTCTTGGAAAGAGGCTTAAAGACAATGTAGAACGTGGTCTCTAAACACAGGGAGCTTATATTTTGTAAACGTGAAAAGATAGACTTAATTAGAAACCACTACGTAAATTAATAGACACAATGTCATTGTGATAGCTCAGAAGAAAAGTTGGCTGTACCCCAGCATGATCAGACAAGCTTTTAGCAATAGATTATCTGATCTCCTTTGGACTCATGTGAAATCTGACTTTACATGATAATGATGAAACATTGGCAATAAGCAGAAGCCTATTGGAAAGAGACACTTCGAGCAGCAATAATGGATACAACTGATCCCTAATTTGTCTTTTGTTTTCATTCATTTTCATTTAGCAGAGTGTAATTTGCTATACACACACTTCCCATCCATTCAATCTACTCATTCAGGAAACTTCCCGTGTTTGATATTTGGGGCTTCATTCATCTGCTTGCTCCTTCACTCTTTCAGGTGTCCTCATTCCTAAATGCTTCTGAGCTTCCTTGATGCTCACTTTGTTCATGTTCTACTCTTGACCATGAGTTTATAGATTTGATCAGAACAAGCTAAAGTAAACCTAGGCTCTGGCCTGTGTGTTTACACCATTAGGATGTGACTCAGAAATCTGACGGAACTTAAAGGAAAACTCCCCTCTTTGTAAAGGTTTGTAATATATTATGAGTGTATAAGGGTGGTAGATCTGCTGCAAGAAGACATTGGTGATTGCTTAACCTTATCATTTGAATATAATGAAGTCATGGACAGCAGGAGGGAGAGCCACTAGTATTTTTAATGAGGCAAATACAAGTGGCCAAAAAAGTAATGTGGATGCCATCAGCATGCGCTGAAAGTGTGCTAAACTTAAATACACCTTTTCTGCAGGTCATGAATATTCCCAAAGGTTCATAAAGGGTATATAAGCAGAAATAGCATGGCACAGTAGGGGAAATGTGGGCTTTGCAGCAGTGTGACCCAGAGCAAGGTAATTCCTCTGACCTTCAGTTTTTCTTATCTACGAAATGGGGATTCGGCCTGTGTCATAGGACTACTTTGAATTTTTTTTTCTTTTTCATTATTTTTAAAAACAGTTTTGTGGTGCTTTAGGTGAAAGTTGAGACAGCAAATGAGGTGCCCATGTAATACTTGGTATATA